ATAATATATTAATATAAATTATATACAAATTATTGCTTCAGTGATCAGTCGGGTAAATCTGGCAGCAAAGAGGAAATTTTTGTACAGGAACAATCAGGGATGTTTACACTGTCTAGCTGTAATGCATATGAACAAGTTAGTAAAATAAGGGTGATTATGAAGAAAGGAGAAGGCTCACCACAAAAAGTCATTGCTTTAGAATCAGGAGATTTAATTGCATTATTTATTATATTAGTTTTTAATCAGAATTAACACGTCATGGGGAAGCACCACACACACACACACATGAGAAGTGGGGGCTACGTCTATGAAAAGAAACCGGTTACACGCATGGTACACAAATGTATTGTTTTGGATCAGTAAGAACGACAGCAGGCTCACTATAGGGGCATTTTAGAACATGCAAAGGCTCCTTCTGGAGATCTTTTTTTAAATGCAAATCCAGTCATATTTTTTCTTTCAGATTGAGTTGAGAGGGGTCAGAAGCTCTGTCAAGTTTTTATTGCTGTTTAAAACAGTTCTTTCCAACACAAAAAAACAGAGATGTCACAGGATAAGTAAGACAAAACCTCCTCCTAAACCTGAGACACCTGTTCTGGTGACAACCATCACAGGCAAGATTCTGGTACCCAGGACAGGAGCAAAGACAAACATTTACGCCAATGGTGTAGTGTCAGTTCTATGGTGGCTTTTGACCTACTTCACCTTGTGAGAGATGCATTTGCATTGCAGGTAAAACAAGGCAAACTTAGCCCCATGCATACACGGCACATGATTTTACGGAGGATCTTGCAGACACCAAGTTCTAGTGCAAAAGGCAGCATTTGAAGGAAAAGGCCTGTTTACACAAGTCTGTAAAAAGTTGGTTGACTTACAAACAGTCCCTATTCTTGTACAGTTGGATAATTTGGGTGCAGGGACGCACAGGATGCCTTCACTGCCACTGTGCCCTTGCTGGGTGTCACGTGTGTCCCTGTGCCTTCAAGGAGGAGTGGGCTACCTCCAGGCACACCTGCCCCTAATCTAGCCATTTGTGCTCCTACTATGGAGGCTCTAGACATTTAGAGTTAAGACCACAGTAAATACAGAGGTCCCTTGGGGCGAGCACTGTGGCTTACACATATATTTGCAAATGTGTGCAAACAAAACCCTCTGTTTTTTAACGCAAACTGTTAAGACAGGGCTGATTCGGTTGTTTTACAGGCTGGTCGGTAAGTGTGCTGGGAAATCTTGTGTTTGTTTATACTCTATTCATACCTAAATACGCCTAGGTTCACACTAGAATGCAATGCAGGAAGACCCACGATCTGTGTGCGGTACCCACACTGCATTCAAATTGCACTATCCTTACGATCTGCAGTGGATGTCAGTGCAATCTTAAGGACTCCCCAAAGGCAGTGCATTTGCCTGCACCAGATAGCATGGTACAAAACAACCATGAGATCTGGCTGCAGCGCGATTCCAAAATTGGTGCATGCAATACTTTGGTGTAATGCAGTATAATGTGAGCCCATTCAGAACGAATGGGCTCAAATTGAATTGCATTGAATCGCACGTGAATTGAACAGGAATGCAATGCGGTTCCTGAGCAAATCATATGCAGTGTATAGTGTGAACATAGCAAGAGTTCAAATGAATGCAGAGTTTTACATACATATATCTGGAGATCATGGTACTTACCCACCAACAAAACAAAGGATATAGAAGGCAAAATAAAATATAGCAAAAGGCCCAAAAGTTATTAGGAAGAGCACAACGCCAAGACTTCCCCATCCCCATATGGAAAGGCTGGCCTGCAAAAAGAGAAGAGATAATTAGTTGTGTACATGACTGGTTAAAGAAAACACAGCAATGGGTGTAAAGATTTAATCGATATAACAACATGCCGAATATACTGAAAGAGCCTCCACAATCTACCTTCTGAACAGGTCTGGATGTTAAGCCACAATGCGCAACACAACCTTTTGTGAAGATTTTGACAGTTCCAAGCATCTGATTCACACATGTGCGGTGTGAATTGAAGCTGGGTTTCACAGCTAATAGACACAGTAGCTGTTCACTGGTTCAGGTCAGGTTTACATCAGGTTCAGGACAGGATCAGCTCAGAATTTTATCCTGTTCACATATGTCAGATTTAGAAACCGTTCCCATAGAAGTCAATAGCCTGTAAGCCGCACCTGAACGGGACCGCACTGCTCAGAAATCGGACAGGACTCTTTTAAAACTGCACTGAATCCACATCGGCAGTGCACTGGACATACAGTGCATCCAGAAAGTATTCACAGCACTTAACTTTTGCCACATTTTGTTATGTTACAGCCTTATTCCAAAATGGATTAAATTCTTTTTTTTCCCTCAACATTCTACAAACAATACCCCATAATGACAACGGGAAAGAAGTTTGTTTTGAAATCTTTGTAAATTAATAAAAAAAAACACATGTACACAAGTATTCACAGCCTTTGCTCAATACTTTGTTGAACCACCTTTGGCACCAATTACAGCCTCAAGTCATTTGGAGTATGATGCTACAAGCTTGGCACACCTATTTTTGGGCAATTTCTCTTATTCTTTTTTGCAGTACCTCTCAAGCTCCATCAGGTTAAATGGGAAGCGTCAGTGCACAGCCATTTTCAGATCTCTCCAGAGATGTTCAATCGTGTTCAAGTTTGGGTTCTGGCTGGACCACTCCAGGACATTCACAGAGTTGGCCCATAGCCACTCCTTTGTTATGTGGGCTGTGCGCTTAGGGTCGTCATCCTGTTGAAAGATGAATGGTCAGACCCAGTCTAAGGTCCAGAGCGCTCTGGAACAGGTTTTCATCAAGGATGTCTCTGTACATTTCTGCATTCATCTTTCCTTCGATCCTGACTAGTATCCCAGTTCCTGCTCCTGAAAAACATCCCCACAGCATGATGCTGCCACCACCATGCTTCACTGTAGGGATGGTATTAGCCAGGTGTGGTGAGCAGTGCCATGTTTCCTCCAGACATGACGCTTGGAATTCAGGCCAAGGAGTTCTCTCTTTGTTTCATCAGACCAGAGAGTTTTATTTCTCATGGTCTGAGAATCCCTCAGGTGCCTTTTGGCAAACTCCAGGCGGGCTGCCATTTGCCTTTTACTGAGGAGTGGCTTCCGTCTGGCCTCTCTACCATATACGCCTGATTGATGGAGTGCTGCAGAGATGGTTGTTCTTGTAGGTTATCATCTCTCCACAGAAAAATGCTGGAGCTCTTTCAGAGTTACCATCGGGTGCTTGGTTACCTCCCTGGCTAAGGCCCTTCTCCTTCCATCGCTCATTTTTGCTGGGCAGCCTGCTCTAGGAAGATTCCTATTGGTTTCAAACTTCTTCCATTTACAGATGATGGCAGCCACTGTGCTCATTGGGACCTTTAATGCTGCAAAAATTTTTCTGTACCCTTCCCCAGATCTGTGCCTTGATACAATGCTGTCTCGGAGGTCTACGGACAATTCCTTGGACTTCATGGCTTGGTTTGTGCTCTGACATGCACTGTTAACTGTGGGACAGGTTTATGCCTTTCCTAATCATGTCCAATCAACTGAATTTCCCACAAGTGGACTCCAAGTTGCAGAAACATCTCAAGGATGGTCAGTGGGAACAGGACGCACCAGAGTTCAATTTTGAGTGTCATGGCAAAGGCTGTGAATACTTATGTACGTTTGCTTTTTTGTTTTTTTTTTCTGTGTTTTTTTAATAAATTGCAAAAAGATTAAAAAAATTAACTTCTTTCATGTTGTCATTATGGGGTATTGTTTGTAGAATGTTGAGGAAAAAAATGAATTTAATCTATTTTGGAATAAGGCTGTAACATAACAAAATGTGGCAAAAGTTAAGCGCTGTGAATACTTTCTGGATGCACTCTATGTGAACAGGCACCATAGGAAGCAATTTTATTTCACATGTCATGCGGATTGGATGAAGTTCAAATGTTCATTGTGATTGTGAACGGGCAATTATACAAAAAGTGCCTAATTGTTGACAGGTATTAACAAATGCATTCTTGTAGTTATAAACTAGGCAACATGTTATAAAGAACACAGAAACATGTCAGACGTCACAGTAACTGCAGACACATGATTGGACGCCAATAAGGTTACCACTGATTTTTTTTTTTTTTTTTTGGGGGGGGGGGGGGGGGGGTGACCAAATCTGAATACAAGGAAGAAACATGAGAAAATCAGATACACTACAAATTTTCTACATGTCCCTGGTGGGGACTGAGCTCAAAAGCATAATGCTGCAAGACATGTAGCCAATATTGCTCTTCCTTGATCACAATCACAATTACACAATAGCAAAAACAGCAGATCCTTCAAATAACAGGGAAAAATCTCACGGAGTTCATTTGAAAATAAAATAAGTAAAAGGGAGAAGTCACAGCCCCTATGGGAGCCCAGCAATTGTTTGTAGAATTGCCTGCTGTTATTGGATATTATATCCCTACGCATGAATGACGAGATGAAAAGGCACTAAAAGGTAGCGAGAGTTCACACAACAGCACAGTGTGTGTCAATGTTATACTTCGAGTTTCGTGGCCAAATTTCCCATTAGCGAAGAAGTTTCTTGGCAGTATGTTGAAAAACATATCTATAATCATAAAAGCATAAGGGAAAAATAGTTCACAGAAACGTGTTTAACTAAAATCTATTGAATTCTTTAAGCTTTAAAGTCTAACAGCATGCCTAGGCACCAGAATAAAAAAATCTCAAGATTTGCAGTGGTTATAGGGAACATCTAGAAATGTTAATAGTGCCTAAGTAGCAGCCTGAAAAAATATACATTCTGTCTGGGATTCCAATTAAAAAGAAAAAAGCAGCGCAGTTCTTGGAATGTAATGGTGCCTCTTGTGCTTTTACAGCCTCATAGTGTGTCTGTAGTGTGAGATCCAAGGCACTGCTGCCTCCCATTGTCTCAGGAGACTTGGAGTGACATTTGATGATGTCACTACTGTGCCCTTACAGGGGTTATAAGAGTCCACAGGTGTCAAACTGGCGGCCCTCCAGTTGTCAAACTACAAGTCCCATGAGGCATTGCAAGATTGACAGTTACAAGCATGACTCCCAAAGGCAGAGGCATGATGGGACTTGTAGTTTCGCAACTGCTGAAGGGCTGCTAGTTTGACACCCCTGCCGTAGTCTATCCAAAATGAGTAAGAAAAAGTTTTATTCTACTTTTACTACAAGCAAATTTGGGGATTTTACTGTGTGTGGGGGGGGGGGGGGGGGCAGAGATTGCATTTTAATGCATTAAGCAGATAACAGTGATAAGAGTGATAGTACAAGGGATAGCTATACATTCATAGAAAAGCAATACATTCCATCTGCAGTTGGCTATTGTATTTGGAAGGCCATGACAAGCCTAGCTGCCTGAATACCCCAACAGTGACTCCATCTGATAGGATGCAGTCACTATTCTGCTGATAATGGCCTACCTAACTGTTGCTTCTTAAATTGGCTTTTGTTAAGTAAGGTGTTGGAGAATGGGAGGATTTTGGTCAATTCAGCAGAATTGGACAGAATTTGTGCCATGTACGGCCAGCTTAAAGTATAACAAAAAGGCCAAACTTTTTTTTTTTTTTTCAGTTTTAGACATAGTGGAGATGGTTTTTTTATTTCTACCTCTGCCCCCATTAGGGAGATTTGCCCTATTTTTCCCATTTACTGTTCTCATCAAAAGTAAAGATAAAAGAAGATCCCAAGTTTTAGGTTGTCCCCAGAAAAGTAATAGAGGGGAAATCTTCTAATAGGACACTAGTTATGGTAACCTGGCGGCCCCAAGGGATTCCTTTAATTTTTAGGATTTCCTCTCACTTCTTGTTTTGGTTATAGGAAAGGAAATCTCCCCAATGGAACACAGATAAGAAAAAAAACTGACAGGGGTTATAACCCCCCCCCCTACTCTATCCAAAATGGGAAAACAAAATGTTTTGCCCATAGTTCTACTTGAAATTTCTGAGATCTCATTCTAATGACCTTCCTTTATTATCATCGCAAACATATGGGAGAACAATGTAAAGGCATTGTCAAGTATTATTTCCAGAAAAATACTGAAATAACTCCCAATATGTGCTCACCGAAATGAATATACGGCAATAAGTGGTTTTCTTTATTACTCACTTAGAGGTCGGCTGTAGGTAACCTGGTAGGGGCCCAAACAAACCCAGAATGTTATTACATTTTGATCTGACATCACATCAGTTTTGCAAGTAGCTGTGAAGCTTTCAGCTATTCTATTCTTGGCTTATGACTTCTTGTTACTCCGGCATTAGCTGCACCATAGAAGTCACCCCAGCTACTTAGCATCATTAAGAGAATTACATTTCCTCTGGATAACTACAGCACAAAACCGTCTCAATTAGAATTACTACGGCTTTTGCAGTAACCAAACTCATTAAACTTATTCGATTAGATTTGAGGAACGCCAATTTAGTGGAACATTCGGCTGTTTAATAGTTTTAACAAAATTCTATTTTGCAGTAACAGCCGGGATATCTTTAAGAATGATATATATGAGCTTTAGGGCTCATGTACACTGCAGCTGGTAAACTCACGTTCAGGAGCTGTTCAGCTTTTTTTTCAGCAGCCCCTGAACTCACCCTAATGTTTTCCTATGTGTCCATGTACACATCTTCATCTACAGTCATTTACAAGCAGTTGAGTTTACAGTCGTTTTTTTGAACGCAACAAACTTGCATTCAGACGTCGATTCTATCAGCGTTTCAAACGCAAAACGCGGCAAATCACATTTATAAGCGTTTGAAATTGTTTTTTAACTCTTCCAGTTCCCAATGCTATCCAGAGCCTTTTTTCATCATGAAAAATGCATGTAAAGATTTTTCGAGGTACTCAGATGGACAACACACTTAACAGGATGTTCCTACCAAGCTTGTCACACATTGTAATGACCAGTTCACACCTCAGACCTCTCCCACCCTTGGAAACAAAAGATATGTTAATGCCCATTCACACCTCAAATTCCTCATGAAGACCCCCTGCCAGGTGGCCTTAATGACTCCACCAGGCACCTTCCCACCCTTGGAAACAAAGGAAATGTTAATGAGCAACTCACAGCTAATTATCTCAACACATACTGCTGTGTCTGCTTCTACTCTCTGTATTTCTCTGAAACAGTCTGAAATAGTTAAAAACTTACCACTTTTCAGTGCATTCTGGGCATTTGGGAGGTTCTCCTGTGCTTATCTTTAAAAAACACTTCTAAATGCAAACACAGCTAAACGTGGTATGCAAACACGGCAAAACTAACGTTTTTTAACCTGTGTTTTCCTGTCAATTTCCAGCGTTGAGAATTGTTCATTCAAGCGTCCCGTGTACATGAGCCCTTACAGTACATCCACTTTTCACATAAATAATCATTTTTCCACTGAGACTGTCTTTACTAGCTTCAGAGCAAAAGGGTATAGAATACAGAGTAGTAGGGATGGCCTGCTAGTTAGCACTGTTATCCTGCTTGCAATGAAAGACTCGTTGAAATGTACTTTGAAATTCTGGATACCCTGAAAATCTATTAATGCGCCTATCACATGAAGATGTGTTACTGATGCGTTTTTGCATGCATTTGCGTCACGTTAAATAACACGTCCTCTGTGTTGGGTTTCTTATGCTATCATTCTTGAACTATCCTTTCAGCTAGTAACACTTTCCAAATGCATCTCAAACGTACTGTAAACACCATTTGCATTGCATTTACATTGACATAAATGGAGGTGCCTGGGAGCTGTAAAGCCAGCCCAATGCTACATGCTGGATACATTTTGGCATGATGCAACACAAAGCACTGCAAACACATCCATGTGAACTACATTGTCAACTGGACATCATTCGTACAAAGCTGGAAAGGGAGAGGCTGGGATTGTGCACATGCTGCATCCGTGATGTTTTCTTCTGGAATTATACCCTCATGTTCGGTGGGCACTATCGACCAGCCAAATTCAACTTATTCAAGTGCATGGGTCTGTACTGCAACAGGTGCAATGCTTGTGGTTGCAGCGCAGCGATATAGCATTTAGGGGGGTTAAAAACAGGCAGTGAGAAGGTAATACAATGCCTCCTGAATCCTCACCGCTTGTCAAATGCTCTCTGAAGAGCGTTCTAAACACAGATTGCTCTTCAGAAAGCACAAGTGTAAATGAGGGTCCTGGGTTCATATCACACGAGGTCACCATCTGGCTTTAGTACTTACAGTGCCTGACCATAAACAAGTACAGAGATTGTGAGGGAGGAAGTAGAAGCTGATGGCAGGATCACCAGGTTATCTGTACACACGTAGAAAGAATTAGAATTATGGGTATATAGGGATTCATTATTATTGCTGAACAGAAATTAGATCTCTGAAGGTTTAACCACATTAAGACCAGTGTTTTTTCATAGCTACATAGTTAATCTGGTTGAAAACAAAAAGACATAAGTCCAACCAGTTTTCAAACGCAAATTTTCGGGAGCAAAAACACACTTTAATGAATTTTAATGCACAAAAACACAATATTTATTTATTTATTAATTTCAGGTACTTATATAGCGCCGTCAATTTACGCAGCGCTTTACATATATATTGTACATTCACATCAGTCCCTAACCCACAAGGGGTGTACAATCTAAGGTCCCTAACTCACATTCATACATACACATACTAGGGCCAATTTAGACAGGATCCAATTAACCTACCAGCATGTCTTTGGAGTGTGGTAGGAAACCGGAGTACCCGGAGGAAACCCACACAGGCACAGGGAGAACATGCAAACTCCAGGCAGGTGGTGCCGTGGCTGGGATTCGAACCAAGGACCCTAGTACTGCCAGGTGGAAGTGCTAACCATTTAGCCACTGTGCTGCAATATAACACCCAATTGTTTGGTAAGGATAAAAGATGATGTAATGGCTTGTAAATAGATACCCAACATGCCATGATTTAAAATTGTAAACGCTCGAGAAATGGCATTAAACTATGGTACTTAAAAATCTCCATAGGCCTTTACAGGTTACCAGTTTAGCATTACACAGGAGGTCTTGAGCTAGAATGATTTGCTCCCGCTATATCGTTCACAACGATACCTTATAAGTTTCATGCGAACACACGTTTACATATCCGTGCGTGACTTTACCACGCTTTAAATTTTATTATTTTGTTACTTTTTTTTTTCTACTTTTATTGTTAACCACAAGAAATGTAAACATTCCTTGTGATAGCTATAGGCAGTGGCCGGTACTCTCTACTGAGAGATCTGGGGCCTATTGGATCCCACATCTCTCCTCTGCCCCTGAAAGCTTTGAATCAAACTCGGATCGGTTCAATCAGCAGCTTTCCTTTGCCATCCAAATCATATACGATAGAGATGATTGGGGATGTTCCAGTCCCCGATCAGCTCTATGGTAAGCTGGCAGAACCGCTGGCTTCAGTCCGGGCTGGCCAGTTATGCCGTAGAGCCCCAAGAGACCCCTCCTGATTCATGGTTATGACTAAGGCTTCTTAGCTGAAACGCATCAACCTATTGTATTTTTCATGTACTCTTTTGTGGTCGCTTCAATAAAGAGGAAGATTTTAGAGCAGTGGCGGTCATGGAGATCTTTTGTTGTAGTACCTTTTTTGTTTCTGGAGACCCCTCCTGATGCCTGTAAATGCAATCCAGTGGCTAGGATGGCTTTTACAAAAAAAAGAGAATCATTGTTCCCACAGACCATCACACTAATGTGTCATGAATTGAAGATCTAGTAACTTTTAGCAGGGGTTCCCTGAGAATGGAAAGTTAATTCAAGGGCTCCTCTGTGTTAAAAAGGTGGAGAAAGACTGCTGTAGATGGAGGAATGAGAATCCTTCTGTTGAAGACAGATCCATGGCTGAATGATGGCTGGGCAGACACACTGGTCAATGGATTCACCATAAAGAAAACAATGGGCGAGTTAATTACTGTATTGTATACCAAGGTCTATAAAAGATTATTTCTGACAAGCAAGGCCCGCAGAGCTGCCCTTTGGCACCACAACCAAAAACAATATTAGTTTATAATCAGAGTAATAGTATTAAAGAACACATGTAATTAGGTTCTCGGATACAAAAACTGTGCAGGTTAAAAACAAACCTGCACTGGGAAAAAGTAGTGAAGTGGAAAACCCAGTTACTCCTGCCCTTGGGGAT